GTGACAAGGTGACATGTCTGGCAGGACAGACTGGGTGACGAGCTGCCTTGTCTGGCATGACAGACTGCGTGACAAGGTGACATGCACGGCAGGACAGACTGGGTGACAAGTTGCTTTATCTAGCATGACAGACTGTGTGACAAGGTGACATGTCTGGCAGGACAGACTGGGTGACAAGTTGCTTGTCTGGCATGACAGACTGCGTGACAAGATGACATGTATGGCAGGACAGACTAGGTGACGAGCTACCTTGTCTAGCATTGCAGACTGCGTGACAAGGTGAATAGTCCAGCAAGACAGACTTGGCGACAAGGTGACCTGTCACGGACTGCACGACGGTGCTGTCGAAATGGCAAGACGAGAGCGCCGAGCCTGACAAGGCCAAGAACACTACTTAGCGGCAAAGACAAATTCGTAATGGAGAAGTGGGTTTGCAGAAGCATGAAGCCCATAACGAGGTGCAGCCCGTGATGGACGAGGTGGGCCGAGCCCAAGGTATGACGAGGTGGGCCGAGCCCAAGGCATGACGAGGTGGGTCGAGTAGGTTGGCGCAGCCCACTAGGAGTGACCGACTTCATGGAAAGGAAACTTCTAAAGGATAAGGAAAGCTTCATATTTTTTCTAGGGTTACCTAGCTGATCTAGCCTACTATAATATAATGTAACTCCCTCAAAAAGGGGATCGGCGATTCTTTACACCGAAACTCTTGTATTCTTAAGTTTTGACAGAAACAGCAATAATAATCATCTTCAATCCTTTGTGTTTGTGATTTCGTACTTGGAATACTCAATCCTCTTGAAACTCTTGACAAATCTAACTGTGCAGGTTCTACCATCCACAGTTTGGCGCCGTCTAAGGTGAAACAGAGATCTTCTTACTCGAATGAATCACCCCACAAGTGACCTAGAAGATGACCATCGAACGCATCGACAACGCTGATGGCGACAGACGCATCGTCACACCGCTGGCAACCGCGTCGACAACACCGCTGGCAATCCTGGCGATAAGGAGATCTAAACCGATCTCATTGGGAACACTACGCAGATAGACAACCGAGCTGCAACAGATGCGACACCTGCACTAGAAGTGTTAAATCAGATCAAGGCAGCGATGGACGCGATGCTTAAGAGGCAGGAGAACCAAGACAAGGTCAACTCTGCAGTGATCGAGAGACTCGACATCCTCACCACGGTAAGCCGCGGCCGAGGCCAGGGCTTGTTTAGGCAACCAGGAGGGCGACTCGCCCCAACCGCCCTCTTCACAACGCCAGATGGCGCACCCAGAACTCGAACCTTCCTGCTGTTCTACACCACCTTGGAGACGGGTTAGGGGAGTCAAGCAAGACAGGCCAACTTACCTCCAGAGCAGGATGCGTAGACCGCAGACAGACCACCAACGGTCGTTAACCTCGACGAGGATATGACAACCAAGGTCAACCCAGTAAGGCGTGCGGACACTGGACGCATCGAAGCACACCGAGCCAGGATAGCTCGAGGCGGCGAGGAGACCGAACACGACAACATCAGCGACGAAGATCTCCTCTGGATTCGGAAACTTGCCAACCAACGTGATGAGGCGCTGCGCGCCTAGAAAGCAGAGATAGCCGAGATGCGCACGAAAATGGGACGAGCAGCCGAG